CAGCAATTCTGGAGGATCATGAATTCAAAGTCGTTGGTATAAGGAAGAAGAAAAAAAATGAATCTTGTAACGAAGTAAATTTAAAAAAAAACCACACTACGTATGCACCCCCTTTCCCCTTTACATAAATACACATATTTACGTATACGTATAGGAATATAAGAATTTTAAAAGGCAAAGACAACAACAACAAAATTTTTTTAATAAAAGGTCGTGGCTACTGTTGTACCCCCTTTCACCCTCCCTCAAATCCTCCTTCGAGAAAAAAAAAAAAAAAAACTTCCTTGCCCCCCCCCCCCCTTTTCCGTCTGGCCGATGCTTCGAGGACATTATTTAAGTATACGCTTGCAACGCGAATGGCCAATCACATTCCCATCAGAGGGTCACTTTACATCTCTCCTATATATCCGATGCACCGAAAAAGGGTTATTCGAAAGAGTTCCGAGGCTTATTTTCTCGCATTGATTTGGACGAAATTTTTTACGTATTTTTAGAAAAGTGGTATTCCAAAACTACTGAAACGGCAAGAGAAAAAAAAAAAAAAAAAGAAAAAAAGAAAAAATTAGATTAATCGAGTGAGAGAGTAAAACAATGGTGCTAATGCGAATCGCGCGAGGAACTGTTTCCAGTAACTTTTTGTTCACGCGAACGAAGAGAGTGTGAAATTTTCATGGGATCTAGCGACTTTGGGGATCGCGAATTCATTAACCTAGTATTAAACAATTTCGAGGAGCAACGGGCCACGGAAATCAAATTTCTGTCGCGCGCCGCGCTTTTCAGGACCCGAGGAGAGTATAACGTGAATTGAATTCGTTTTGATGTAGCGTAAGGTTTTTTTTTTTTTTTGTTTTTTTGTTTTTTTTTACAAGAAAAAAAAGAAAAAGCAGAATTTGCAAATAAAAGAGTGACGATGTGTACAATCTTAGGTGGCGTTTGCCGTGGCAATACCTCAATCTCAAGATTGCACTTGAGCTCGTTTGCGCGTGAGAGCGACAAAGGGGAGGGAAGTGCTTGGTTATCGTCTCAGTGTTGCGGGCTCAAGGGTGTTCCTGAGATTGCAAGACTGACACCCGAGCGCACCCGTGTATAATGTCCGAAACGATAATCAGAAGTGATCGCTGCATCAGTATACTATACTAATATTTACTACTCAAGAAAATTAAATCATGTATATGTGTGTACGCGGAAGAAGCGAAGAAGAAAAAAAAAAGAAAAAAAAAAAAAAGAAATAATTAAATTGTGCAGGCCTTTTGTGACTATCGAAACAAGACAATGTACATCGCGAGCAAAGAGAAAAAAAACCTGTTGTACAATAAGCATATTGGAAACAAGTTTGTGCTGTTACGTAAAAGAGAACGAGAAGAAGCAGTATAGCAGCAGTAAGGTCGAAGCACCGATGACGATTCAGTGCCATTTTGGGCCCATTTCACGTGTATTGCAATGCTCCTAACTTTTAAGTCTATATGTATTGTGTAAAATCAATAATAAGGATTCGAGAACACATAGAAGACTTTTTTCTGTAAATAGTTCATTGACGAGGCATTAGGTATTTACCTAAATATACGATTTACGAATTATTTGCGATACTTGGTTTTTTTATTTATTACCTCTAACCTGATTTTGTTTACACATATAGAATATTATAATTTTTTTTTAAATGTTAATGAAAGTATGAGTATGATAAATTTTAATAGTTTAGGATAAAAACTTTATAAATAACTTTATTAAAAAATTATAAAATTGTATCTACTTGAAATAATAATTTTAAATGATTGAATACAACTTAAAGTAATGCTATATTTTTAAATCCATATATTTAAAATGCAGCATATCACTTGTAGTCAAAATTAATGTACAGAAAAATTACTTTTTTTTAGTCAGTATTGTCTAAAATTTCCTCCACCACCACCTCGTCGAGCTGCAGGTTGAACTCTGTTTGGTGGAGTAATTGAAATATCTAAATAGTCTCCAATTGTAAACCTAATGATTGATGATATTTAAATATAATCTCAATAATTGTACAAAATTGAATATTTCGTTAGAAAACAGTATAAAGATGCGATGAACCTACCTAGCTTGTGCTAAGGTTTTGCTGTCATCTGTTCCCTTTTGCCCTGAACATGTGACACCAATCTCTCGCATTCTGTAACCTGTAGACCTTGCATCTGGTGTTACTAAAGAGAAATCAAAGTAAGTTCCTTTACTGCGGGCATCTGGGTTAACTTCTTTCACTAAGGCAGTGATTTCTTTCAATGTAGCATCCAACCTGAAAGGATTAATTTCACAATGAGTAGAAAAATTGTACCAGCAATTCTGGAGGATCATGATTTATAACCAATTGCTTTAAAGACAATATTATCATTTGAACAAACGCCATTTTAGTTTTTTGATAGTTTTAGTCTCTCTGTAGTGCATAATAATAAATGAAAAAAAAAAAAAAAAATTACCAAGTGTAAATTTGGAGTTCATTGGATGGCACATTCCCTCTGTTGTATTCTACAATGTTATGGTGTCGACCTGTGTTGCAGAAAACTCTCAATAGTAGGGGACAAGTCTGAAAACAAGTAATACATGATAGAATCGAAAAACCAAAAAATCTATTTACTCAAAAACACAGAAATTCAACGACCCTGACAGGTTATGAAAGTTAGGCACTGTACTCCTCGAAAATCCTTACCTTTTCTCTGTCTACAGGCTTTTCGGGAATCTGTTTATCGTCTACGACCATTGATTCAACAGCCGATGTCATGATGGGCCAGTGATTTTTTGAAGAAAACTACTTTTAACGTAAATAAGAGGAACCGGGATTATATTATTTACAAAACAATGAGTGGACACTGGTCACTGGACAGTTAGTACAGGTTGACGCTACCGCCGCCCGACCATGCGGCGTTACCACGACCTACTCTCCTACTCACCTACGTCAGTGAAACGTGAAACGTGAAACGTCACCCTACGTAACTTTTAATTACTCAACTATATACATATACCTAAGTACAGCATTTGCGGAATACACATTACATCCTCTGATTTTATCATTTTGGTAGAGAGAGCACGGTGTAAGATGTACGTGAAGTTATATGTGTAGTAATTATAGTAATCACTACTAATCCTAAGTAGTGCCATTTGGTCGATTTTATTAAACCATATAAGTAGAATATCTATACTTTTGGAGGTCGATTTTCAGGTAAAAGATAAATAATTGTACACTTGCCGCAAATACCACAGACAATGTTTACTTTTTATCTTCTATCTGTTATATTATAGTTGCGGCTGGTTTATACTTGATTACATATGGCTCTACTATAAAGTATTTTTTTTTATTTAGATTAATTCATTTATTGGCGTCGTATTGGATATACATATGCCAGTACACTACTGGTTACATTTAATGATATTTACATATATTTATACATACAATATATTGGTTTGAATATAATTAAATTATTGAAACATTCGTGCGCTTAGAATACTAATGTTGCGCTTAACAATTCATAAAAATACAAAGTAAGGCTGGTATACGTAATTAATTGTTACATTTATTATATTAGTACGTATTTAAATAGTAATTTTAAGTAATATAATTGTTTGGATCAGCGCCATCTAGCGTTGCGGATTTCTGAACTAAAAAGTGGCCCTGAAATTCTGAAGGAGAGCTTTAGGCAGTTTAGGCTTTAGAGCCATTTAATTAATTATAAACCAGCCGCAACAAATTGTAAAGATATAAAATAAAAATTTAATATCGTTTGAGCTATTTGCGGCAAGTTTGCAATTATTTTTTATGCGAAATTTGACCTTCTCTATGTTTTTACTTTTGGAAGACTATTTTTGATAAAAGATAAATTGTATAGTTGCCGCAAATAGCACAAACGACGTTTATTTTCTATTTTATGTCTGTGAGATTAGTTGCGGCTGGTTTATAATTGATTAAATGGCTCTAGGCGCTAAAGCTCTGACTCAGAAGTTTAGGGCCACTTTTTAGTTCAAAGTTCAAAAATCCGCAACGCTAGATGGCGCTGGTCCGAAAAATTATTACCATAGTAATTAATACTATATATATATATAGTGTGTACATGTACTTGCAAGTCCGAGCGCTGTGTACAGTATTCGCTACGTGCACAAGCTGAAAAAGCGATCGCAGCAATCCCTGTGCTAATATGTGAAACTAAACGATAGGTTTGTCTTCTGCTAGCAGAGTGCTAAGCATTACTATCATCAGAAAGTTATGTGTTTATACATCGACAACCTTTGTGAGGATTAAATTTTTAATAAAATTATGAGTAGTATGTACATATTTTACTCAGGCATGTTCATTAAAAAACGCAGTGAAATACATTGGATACTGTGTATTTCTTAGAGTTTTTAACTGGGGTCTGATCCTCAGAGCGTATCGTCTGAACGTGTGTACATACTGTGTGAACACGCCGGTATAAGGCTAACGGAGCTCTCTGATTGGTCAGAGGAGGTCTGTGTTGACTACATTGCAAACTAATAAAACATCTCGTATCACACAGTACACGGACTTGTGTTGAAGTAATACTCAAGCGCTTATAGTGCTTGTAGTACAAATTTTGTCTTTAGTTATTCACATAGGATTGTACCACTTGAGACATTGTATTAATTCGTGATATAATAAACACAGAACCTTTTGTGTATCTATCGAGGTGCTGTGTTCCTATAGGTATCAAGCACATATCGCGAATATTGCCTTCTGCTGTGCCAGACCAATAGTTCTCGTTTTTCCCTAGGATTGCGCTGCTTCAAAATTGTGCACATATATAGCGAATAGTGATTACTATAATGACTATACGTATATATCTTACACCGCTTACAAAGCTTCTCTTTACCAGAGAATGATAAAATCATACTCTATAGATAGCAGACGAATTTTTGCACGCTGCAGATGTGCAGATGCTTACATCTATATATGCGTACATTTTGCATATAGCATATATTTGCAAGTTGTTTTTAATGAAAGAAAGAACATATACTACAGCAAGTGCATCTGCAATTCTGCAGTACATGTTTGTAATTGTAAATTGTTAAAGTATTAGTGTAAATTTTGCACCTTGACATTGCAATCTTAATGATATAGTATTGGAAAATCGAAAAAGTGAATGTCAAAATATGTCGTACACTACCTATTATACACTTTAAATCATTGAATTTGTAGAATAAAAGGTGCAATGTGCTTACTTTGCATATTACTGCAGCTGTAATTCTTATTACTTGCTATATAATATGGATAAGATGAGCACTATTGAGGTTACAGGTGGAGTATAGAACTTAAATCTCAACGAATCATCAGTTTCAGCCCAAAGTAGGTATCGTTTTCAGATCGTTTTACGTTTAATGCGCTTTCCTCGCGTAATCTCCAAGAAGAGGAGAAAAGAGAAAAGATACGGGCGTGTGCATTTATTGGGCGAAAGATGGGAGACAAGGAGTTTGTTATGCGCAAAAGTTCGTCGTTATGGCAAAAATCGTCGCCGTCGCCGCGGAGCTGGAGAAAAGAGAAGCTTGTTCGGTTATTTCAGTAGCGCGTGAGTTTAGCCGCTATGTACACTGTTTAAGGCCTTACGCGTGTGTACTTACTCAAGAATCTTCTGAATGTGTCTTTCTTTAATTTAAGAATAAGTATTCACTTAACTTTTGGGGTTTAAGTCTTGTTTTTGCAAATGAGAAGGATCAACTGTAGCCTGATGCTGTTGTTCATTGAGGTAACTATATTAAGGACATTTTTTTTCTTTGATTTTCCAACATTTCTTTTGTTTATATTTACATACAATACCAATGTACGGGTGCGTTTGAATGAGGATCGTATTTGAAGTTGGACACTTGAGTTTTTCTGGTTTCTTACATAAGAGTAAAGAACATGAACGAAATCGTACTGTCAATTTTTATGAGCAAGTGACATCTGATATTGGGTATAGAGTAATAATGTTGCACAATCAACAGCTCATAAGTAGTTTGTGTCGTTAGCTTCAACAGGTGTTTCTTTACAAGCAAAACAAAGTATTTTTTCATCCATAAGCTTCAAAGTATACAAATACATACATAAAATTAAAACTGATTCTCACTGTTTTTCTAGCGGTATATAAAGTACTATTTAAACCGAGTTTTTTCAGATAAATAAAAGTTTTTTCAATTAAAAAATTTTAAATCTCGAGACAAGCTATCATTTAATGAATTAAATGTGTGCTCTTGAAAGTCCATTGTATCTGTATTGTGAAGAGATAATATTGAAATTGGTTTGTTTAACTCTGTGTGATAAATTTTCACAATTATTTTTTATAAGTACGTTACCGGATGAAAAAGTAATTTGACAGCTAAAATTACAGAGTATGCTTGATTATCAAAGCTCGTTAATTTTGTTGTTACGAAATTCAGGAAAGATTGCAGTAATCTAATCCTTTATACCGTTAATATTCTGAGACATCAAGACACTTATTATTATTATCGCCAATCGCCATACTTACTCAAGACGACGATTGACATAAATTGAGCACTTTTATGGGGCCACAGTTTAAAAAATTTTATGTGAAACCAAGCCAATCGAACGTAATCTGCATGGCACTTTTTAAATAAAACAATATTTTTTTGAAAAACGAAATAAAATTTATGATAAAATTGCTTGAAGACGAGCGAGTATAATCAGCCGCAAGTGGAGTTTATGTGTTTTGCTGTTCCACTTAAGATGGTGAAACATGAAGTTTTATCAACTTAAAAGTAACCAAGTCTTAAATGAGCACAGTCCAATATTGTTACAAGTAAGTACTTGCTTTGGCTTTTGTTCCAGGTTATGAAAAACACTTAGCATACACTTGGGCATATCACCAACATCAGGCGATTAAAATGGTAAGCAAATTGCCCCAAGAATTCCGGAGGTACAACCGAAATCGCAACCAATTGAGGCATATTTTTAAAGAAACCCAACGTGTGCTTGAGGTCATAAGCCTTGAAAACTTTTTTCCCGAAGGTAAGGTGTTTTTTTTTCTCCTGAATGAATAAGTATAGTGCATCGTTATCCAAAGATTAATGGCAAAGTAAAGTGACTTTTGATGGAATATTTTGCTGAAAGGGGAAATAATGCTTGTCAAAGGCTTGTGGGTCTGGGATTGAGAGTGCATAATACGTGCACGCACACTCGCTCCGTCTTAAAACTATTATTAGACCTTGATAATCATAACATACGAGTGCATGATAAATTTCTTATGTTTTTCACTTGTTGCTTTTTTTCCCCAATCAACAAGTCATACGTACTCATGTATATATACATACAATGTTCCGCGAGAAATTAAATTTTAAAGATATAAAAAATAGTACAGTATACACACTTTTCAAGAGAACAATTACTGCTATTCACACCGGATGCGTTTATTACGAGGTTTATTAATTGTTTTATCGCTCATTGATGTTTCCTCGCATGAAAACAAAAAACTGTTTGCATCGTAATCACAACTTTCCCAGCTTCGACTCAACGTTGTATTTCATCCTGTGCTCGTATGATCCAAAGAAAACATCATCGACGAGCTGCTTCCAACACTGACGTACGACAAAATTAACCATGTGCTCGAAAACTGCCCGGCAATCATCGTTTTCGGCCAGAACACGAAAGCAAAGGCGTCGCTGATCAATCATCTGCTCTCGACGGAAGTCCTGCCGGTGTGTACCGGCCAGTGGCGATGGATAAAAATCGGCTGCGGCCCAACAAACATTGTCAATCTAACTCTCGGCTTGGAGTACGAGGTCGTTGAGAATCTACTGTCAAACGAGAAGCCTTGGATTACCATACCAGAAGAGGATCTCGTGGACTCGGGCGATGCAGATCCCAACTGCCCTACTGTTCTCGAAGTCAAGCTGAATCAGCCGACGCTCAAAGATGGAGTTCAAATATTCGTCGTCCCAGACTCGGGTATGATAGTGCTTTCTTTTTTTTTTTTTTCTTCCCTCGTTACTATTAATTTACCTTAAAATGAACGCTCCGTTCGCAGGGGGAGTACAGATACTGGCCAAAGAAGTGTTCAAGGTCTTGCCGATCTTCATCTACGCCCTGGGCGAGCAGCCCCTGTCCAACGAAAACATGGAGGAGCTGCGCAATCTCAAGGAAACGTATCCCTACAACCCTGTCCTTTTCGTCTCGGCCATCACGCAAATCAGTTTCGACAGCCTCGACGGTGAGCTCACGAAACCGGTGCAGCGCCGATTGGCCAGCCGAGGGGGCGTCGAGTCGAGCGAGTCGAGTTCCCTGAAAGACGACTACTCGATGCGCTCGTGCTCGACGCAGGACGATTCGACCTCGTTCAGGTCAAATTCTATGCGGCTGGATTCTGTCAAGGAAAATATCAAGGATGAGGACGACGATGGCGACGACGGCCTCGATCTCGAGAACATCGATGCGCTGGGTCTTGCGTGGCTCGATCAGCTTACCGATCTTGGCTTTATCAACGAGACCGTAGATCCCGAGGAAGCTTGGCTACACCATGGACAGAACGCTCACGCCAGTGAGCTGCTGGACTCTTGCAAAAAATTGGGTAAGCCATCGGCGAGCGTCTGTCGTAAACAAAGTTATCAACAAGCTGTCCGGGTATTAATGAGTCAAATAAGTGTCGACGAGATAAAGAACGTTGGTTCAAGCTAATTTTTTTTTTTTTTTTTTTTTTTTTTTTTTTTTGTCAATCGCATATAATCTCTGATGCAACGATCTATGTGTGATGTTTTCACGCGTTTGCTTTAACCGGTCAAAGAAATACAAATATGTGTATCTGATTGCGATAAATAGACGGATTTGTCATTTTCATTCATAAAAAAAAAAAAAAAAAAAAAAAAAAAATTAATTTCAGATCGAATCCTGTACTTTGTGCGCAAGTGCTTGCAAACCTACCTCGTGAACGTAAGCAACTACCTAAACGACGTGCACACGACGAGTCTGCGCAAATTCATCTTGAGCGCGTTCGACATGGCACGCGAGATCCAAATAACGCCGAAGCGCATACAGTACGCTCAGAAAAAGGAAAGCGAGCTCTATGCGAATCTCATGCAAGTGGTGAACGCCAAACAGGAAGAGCTGACCGAGCTCATACACAACAGCATCCAAGAAATGAAGGAGGAGGTGCTTCACGCCTCAAACAACGTGAATCTCTACCACAACTTACCGTTCGAAGAGGGAGAAGCCGAGTGCTCGGCCACCGTCAGGGCTGCCACTGCCGAGGTACAGAGACTCGTGCTCACTAGGCTTGGGGAGAGGGTTGCCAAGCAGCTCGTCAACTCGGTCAATTGTCTCCGGGACACCTTCGTCGGCACGCTACAGCGATGTCTGCTCAGTCTCGAAAAAAGCTACGAGCACGACGTCAGTTTCACAGGTGACTTATACCACCTCATGTTTTCAGTACGATTTGAGTTTGAAGCAACAAACATTTGATTAATTTTGTTGTTTTATGCTTATACGCAGCAAGCGATGCTCTCAGACAAATACTTTCGGCAGCCTACAGCGTAGAGCTGCACAATTCGTCGCCTTCTCTGGTGCACTCATTTCTGGAACGAGTTCGTCAGTTATTCAAGTCCATGCCGCTACCATGGACACCCACGCCAGTTTTGAATGCCGCCTGGAGACGGAAAGTCACTATAGACGTGCTAAACTCGCTGAGCCCAGCGCGATTGGCACGTACCATATCAACACAATTCAGGGACAAAGTCAAAGCCTCGCACGACACTTTCCAGTCCGCCCTCAGATCGCTGGAGAATCACTATTCTGGAAAACTCGAGCGTACCGAAGAACAGAGGATAGCTATTAGAAAGTATCACGCACCAAGGCTGGCTAAGCTTGCCCTCGAGTCCACTTCCATGAGTCATATGGTGAGATTTATTTTTTGTCATTATTATTGTTATTATTATTATTATCATTATTATTATTATTTTTATTATTATTATTATTATTATTATTATTATTGTTATTATTATGATGCTCCATTTTAAATTACTTACGTTTTCATTAACTTATCCTCGATTTGACGAAAGTTCTGAATTGACATTGATAACATTATTTCGGAAACCAGGCCTTGGCCCGTGACACGCAGATTTTGACTCAATTTTTAAAGATAAAGCGTACGGATGCTAATAGCCTACTGATATTGAGTAATCTCCCTTTTTCGGTATCGCAATTATTTTTGTATTTAAACTTGAGACAATCGAAAAAAATAATAACGGCCCAAAGATTCGTTACATGTAGCTGCAGCAGATATGGAGTTTGTTTCACGAGGATAAAAGTGTCTGCATGGTTTGATTTATTCTGAAATTTCGGATATATATATAGATACAGATTGTCGCCAATGACCTTTTCCTCAACAAACTTACAAATTATCTTTGGCGCCAATTGCTTCATCATCGAATTTTTCAGATAGTCTTAGCGGCACATCAAAGCTTAACAAAGCAATGTTTGACTACTTTGCAGGTGCGCTACGGTATACCTCACCAGGGAAAAGAAATCGGCCGGGGCCAGTATGGCGTTGTATTCGCATGTGACGGCTGGGGTGGCGCCCCAGGACCCTGTGCCGTCAAATCCGTCGTGCCACCGGATGAGAAACACTGGAACGACCTAGCGATGGAGTTCTATTACACGCGCTCGATACCCGATCACAAGCGCATCGTTAAGCTGCGCGGCTCTGTAATCGACCACACGTACGGTGGCAGTTACGGTCTAGGCTCCGCTGTTCTCCTCATCACCGACCGCATGAGCCGTGATCTCTATTGTGGAATACGCTCCGGACTCAAGTGGCTCGAGCGCATTCAGATCGCCATCGACGTCCTTGAAGGCATTCGGTACCTTCACTCGCAGGTCGGTGGCTGATTCGTTTTTTGTTAGTATTTTTTTTTTTTTTATTTTTTTTTTTTCTGGTAAAATTATCAAGAGCGGTCAAGATAGCTAAAATTTTTAGGGTTTGGTGCACAGGGATATCAAATTGAAGAATGTACTGCTGGACACGGAAAATCGAGCAAAATTAACAGACTTGGGATTTTGCATAACCGAGGCGATGATGTCCGGTAGTATCGTTGGGACACCGGTTCATATGGCCCCTGAACTTCTTTCTGGGCATTATGCCAGTAGTGTCGATGTTTATGCCTTTGGTATACTGTTTTGGTACATATGTGCTGGTCACGTCAGACTACCATTGACTTTTGAACAGTTCACCAATAAGGAACAGCTGTGGACCAGCGTTCGAAGAGGTACGGATTTTTTTTTTTTTTTTTTACAAAAAGCGTTACGATTAAAGTGTTTCGAAAATTCGATCAACGTTTCAGGCATTCGGCCAGAGCGACTGGTTTGTTTTGACGAGGAATGTTGGAATCTAATGCAACAGTGCTGGGAGGGTGAGCCATCGCGAAGACCACTACTCGGTGCCATTCTGCCGGTACTCGAGTCTATTCAAGCAAAAGCCGAAAATGAGGACAGATCGCAAAATTGACCAAAAAATAGTAGAGGTGAATTCACGTACTTGGTACTGAAATAGTTATGTACACAGTTGGGTTCAATTATATACTCACACCCATGAATAATATATACTTAGCTTATACATAGGTACTATAATATTATACCGACTGTGCCAGCTCACAAATTTTTTACTAAAAGCCATGGATATTAAAAAAAAAAATTTCAACTATCCATAATTCATTAATCTGTGATAGCTTGGTCAAATGGCTAAGCAATTTTTATAAAGTAAAAAGTTAATTTGTATATTTTTATAATTTATTAATAAAGTTTAAACAGTAATTGAAAAGAATAACAAAATCTTGCATAAATAATAATTACGTTAAAATATCTAAGCTACGTTTTGCTTTTTCCAAGTCATGCAAAAATTTATAAAATTGTGCCAGACTCATTTCTATGAAAATAGACTTCGTTTGTCCCTCTTCGTCATAGAGGATTTTCAGATGCATGAAATTTGTTCCGATCTTGTCTGTGCCACTACTTGCTACAGTCACTGTAAATAATTTTTACTTTTTATATATATTTATATAAATATACACATATTTTATATTATTGCATATCCTTAAGAGCAGTTTATTACCACATATTTTGTATGAATGAAAGTAATAAAATATTTTAAAGTATGAATTTCATTGTAAATTACTCTAAACGCTAGTACCTATTTACCGTGCAAATATACATAATAAATTAATATTAATTGCCTAGGCCACATACCTCCAAATCGCCAAGAAACATCAATAATTTTTTTTAATGGTAGATTTTCCATTCTTTGAAAGTAATTTTTATCACTTCTTGTAACTTTTTTTAGCAGTTAAACAATCATTACAGCTCAACTTTATGTGAATCTGTGCTCGCAATCTACATCAAGTGACAAAAAAACAAACAGTAATAGGTTATGTTGATTTGTTTACTATTTTCAATTTCGGATATTAGAGGAATAAGTATTAAGGACCGACCGACCGACTAAGGTGCCGAACTGCCGATCTGCCGATTGCCGAATTACGTAAGCCCCGTCATGACATCTATATAAAAAAATGCAGAAAGTGCACAAAAAACAAAAACTTAAAACACATAAATATGGGCACGGATTTTCACGGACGTCAAAGTCAAAGTCAAACGCGTGCGGACGCGCTATGTGGCCGCGGCCTGAATGACTCAAAGACCGCCGGCCGATAAGATATTTATCACATGTTCCTGCCGTACCGACGGCAATATAAAATTCCTGTAATACCGATTGTAGATACATCAGTGAGACAGAGATCTGGCATAAATTGTTAATCATCTGATATAAGGCAGGAATTTTACATTTCCGTCGATACTTAATTATACGAGGTCCAACGTCCAACTACTATAGTTTTCTATTTATTGTTGTTTTAAACACTTTAATATGGTATAATTACTTTTATTATAAAAAAAAACTTAATCCCACAAGAATTTAATAAATACCACTGACTACTCTGATTGAAAGTGCTGACAAAAGCCCTTCTGTTTTCAACCCCGCTACGAAAAATAATAATTTTAAAAGTGTTTGTATACACACTGACTTGAACGATTTTTTTTTATCTTTATTCCAATGACCAGCAACGTTTCAAGGATACCACTGATTTCTCTGAATTCGAAAATGAACATAACAAATGTCCTCCACCTTATAACTCCACTCCGAGAAATGTCGACGATTTTTCTGAATCTGAGAATGAGCCCGATAAAATTCCTCCACCGCTGATCCGGAAAATGTCAACGATTTTTCTGAATCTGAGAATGAGCCAAAACCTGATAGTTCAGCCCCAAAGAATGACGATTTAGCTGAATGCAATAATGAGCCCAACAAAAATCCTCGCCTTGATGATTCTGCTCCAGAAAATGCGAGCCGGCAAATTTACGTACCTACTGACTAAAACGACTTAACTTCATGAATAATTGCATGGAAACAATTTCAGAAACGAGACTGATGACTTTAATTCTTTGAAAACCGATGCTTCATAGAATGAAAAAACTCTACGCGAGTACATTGCCCATGTGCATTCTTTCCTGCCCTTGATGAATGCGGAAGTAAGTATTGGTTGCAACTTATCAGTTTCACAGACTGAGATCTGGAAGGTGTGAGGAGCGCATAATTTTTCGATTGTAATGGACAGTTTAGTCAGGCTGACCAGAGGTCACGCTAAACTTGTACACAGGAATGAAGTCCTGTTAAGTAATATGAGATTTTTGCTACTCACTTGATTAACTTAATTAAGGAAGTAGGAAAAGATATCAGTAGATTTTCTGATGATTCTCTGAAAACGTTCACACATGTGCAATAGAAAAACAAATAACTTGCCAAGGGAGTGTTATAAAAAAAGTTAAATATTTAATATACATGTGTAATATTCACTTGCAAAATGTTGTTTATGTTCCTCTTATTTATAAAATAAATATTTTTAAATTATTCAACTCTATAAAAAGTTCTCAGGTTTTTAAGCACTTACCTACCTTAAGGTAGTTCATTTTTTTAATACCATCAATCGTTGTTGCTCTTTTTTATCTAATAATTTAAAATCTGTTCAGTCTTTTCCTGTTACCAGGTACTGCAGCTTGTCGTAAAAGTTTTAATGTAAGTTTCAAACCAATTAACATTGGTTCTTACATTTTGTTGAGCGATAGGTTAGATGCTCTTCTAAAAAAATAAATATTTAAATGCAATTTTTTATTTATTCAACAATAAGCATTAAAAAACATGTACGTACTGTTGCTTGTATCTGGAACAAATACCTCCATCCACTCATCACTTCCATCGCAGCAATCACAGACACCATCATTTACTTGGTATGAAGGAACTTTGTCTAAAAATCAAAATGAAGAAGCGATAGAAAAAATACTTATAATATCGAAAAACAAAAAAATACAAACACGGAAACGTTTTTGATGTCATTTCGCAATAAAATTTGCCGTTGCTGCAAGCATTGGTTCCTGGCTCGTCACTACCATCCTCCAAACAATCACAGTAGTCATCATTGATCTTAACAAAATCAATTTCTACTTTGTTATTAATGCAATTGAATTTTCCGTTTGCATTTGGAAAATACTTCATAACGTCTTTCAAACGAGTCCCACGCAGAGATATGGAGTTGCCTTGTGGATCTGTCAAGAGCTTTGAATGCTGCTGTTGATCCCATTTTGACAGAATCTTCAAATACAAATAATCATCATACAGACATTATTCAAAAAGCACTATCAAGCAAATGGACAGGATAACAAAAACAACTGTACCTTCTTAGCCGCCAACTGCTGACGGTGTTTAGTACTGGTGTCAACCAAAGGGTCACCGGTGCTGCGTGACGAAGAGATGAGCTTGCTCATATAATCGACCTGAAGGATCACGAAAGCCAACCCCGTCGCCAGCAAAAGGAGTTTCCAGTTCCTCCACAGGTAACGTTGCCACAGCGACGAGTAGTCGGCCGACATGGCTGGACCTCACCACTCTCATGTGTTTGTTTACCCCCGTCAGAGGCGTCAGAACCGAGAGCCCGTTATACAGTTATACTAGCCGGTGGTCCGTGGTGCAGGTTGATTGTGATGTGTTCTACGATCTACCTCCAAAAGTATAAATACGTAGGAGATCGATTTTCAGGTAAAAGATTCAATAGATTTGTTCGGGATTGAGCTTGGAGTAGCTCTCGGAGCGCTCCTTTTTCAATTCGCTCCGAGCCGATGCAGAGGTTGCGCCCCCTCTAGCCAAAATCAGGCAAAATTTCTTGCATGTAAACAAACAGCTTAGAGCATATATACACGCGTATAGCTGCTTGTGATTGGCACTTGGCAAGCTAGAGAGAGAACGACGATCCTCTCCTGCTGTCTTATTCAGCCAATCACAAGCAGCTATACGCATGTATATATGTTCTAAACCGTTTGTTTACATGCAAGAAATTTCGCCTGATTTTGGCTAGAGGGGGCGCGACCTCTGTATCAGCTCGGAGCGAATCTGCGAATAGTCAAAATGAAATAGATTGACAGGCAGAACCGCGCTAAGTTTAAATTATGTTTAAATTATAACATCTCAGAACAATTTAGTAAAATAAAGAAAAAATTGTAATTATTGTCATAACAGAATAAAGGCTTAGTTACAATCAATTTCAATTACAATAAAACGTGCCAAATATTATTTAATAACTTTTTTTATAGATTTATGTTAACATCGCACAGTCGGTCAGTAGGGTCACTGATGTAACCTGGTATGTATAACAATATGTATAGTTATAACTGTGACAAAACGTTTTTCGTCGCCTTTTTTTTCATAAATTTAAGTTAATACAGAAATGCAAATGTATTACGATACTTATTTCTTTGCTTACATAACAGGTTTTAAATATTGATATTGAAACATATTTTAAACTTAGCGCGATTCTGCCAGTCTGCAGACTGCTAGACTCCATGTAATCTCCCTAAGTAAACTGTTTATTTAAACTATAACGTTAATGGGCCGTACTTCCATAAGTTAATGTTAAAAAGCTTGAGGTATTGTAATTTTTTTTTATGTGGTCGATTTTCTAAGCCAAATAAGATAAGTAGAATATTTATACTTTTACATGTCGATTTTTGGCTCGATAATAAACTGTAAACTTGCCGCAGATAACACCAAAAGTAAAACCTTTTTATAATCTATCTACAAGCTCAGTTGCGGCTGGTTTATAAGTTGACAAAATGTCTACTGTAAAAAGCATATTTATTTAGATCAGCGCCATCTAGCAGTCTCAATTTTTTGGCCAAAAGTGGCTCCCAAAATTCTGAATCAGAGCAATCAGGATTGGAGCCATTTAATCAATTATAAACCAGCCGCAACTCATGATGAAGTTACAAAATAAAAAAATATTAATACGTGTGTTTTTGGCGGCAAGATAACAATCTATTTTTTACCAAAAAATTGATCTCCTATTTGTTTATACTTTTGAAGATAAATTTTCAAGCATAAAATAGATAGTTATCTTGCCGCCAAAAACACACGTATTATTATTTTTTCATTTTATACCTTCTTCATAAGTTGCGGCTGGTTTGTAATTGACTAAATAGCTCTGAGCTCAATTGCTCTGTATTAAAAGTTTAGGGCCACTTTTTAGTTCAAAAATCCGTAACGCTAGATGGCGCTGATCCAAATAACTCTACTACAGTGAGAGATGGTATCGATGGATGAAGTATGTAGTCGAACATTTGCAATCAAAAATAACCTAAAAAGCTCAGTCGGTTTTTTTTGGAGAACGAATAAGTATTTTTTGATAACTGCTTTTCAAGAGTAAATAAGACTTCTAATTAAGTGCTGAAAAATGTCTATTGAAATTGAATCTGCTGAGTGAGTCAAAAATCATTAGGAAAATATTTGATTTCTTGCTAACAAGTTTTTCTGTTTTTTTTTTTATGTTTTCCAAAGTACGCACTTGTTTACCTACTTGGAAAAAATACACTTGTCAAGATTGTAGTTGAATAATCATAGTAACAAAAATTTTAAATGTGACTGAAAAATGTATATTATTTTTCAGTGTTATTCGTCTAATTCAGCAATACCTAAAGGAATCTAATCTCGTGAAAACTTTACAAACCCTTCAGGTAGTGTATACCAGACGTAACAGTTGACCATCCAAGAGTTAATACGAGTAAAGCAAAAATGTTTTAGGAAGAGACAGGTGTGTCGTTAAATACAGTCGACAGTGTGGATGGCTTTGTAGCCGATATAAACAATGGTCATTGGGACACTGTGCTCAAAGCTATACAATCTCTTAAACTACCAGATAGGAAGCTCATCGATTTGTACGAGCAGGTGAGTTTTTATAATTAATACAGTTTACTTATTTGTTTGTTTTCATTTGTAATATCGACAAACAATAAAATTTTAGTAAGACTATAGTACACGATTATACATGCACATCTGTATTCTTGACGATTTTTATTTTGCAGGTCGTCATGGAGTTGATTGAATTACGAGAACTTGGGGCAGCTAGAAGTTTATTGCGACAGACAGAACCTATGGTTATGATGAAACAACAAGAACCAGAGAGATACATTCATTTAGGTAAATCCAATAAACATCCATAATGTGACAACTAAATAAATCCGAGAGATTGCTTGCAATTTTATTAAGAAGTCATAACTACTGCTAACACGTTATCAATATTATTACAGAAAATCTACTTGCTAGATCATATTTCGATCCGAGAGAAGCATATCCAGATGGAAGTACAAAGGAAAAAAGAAGAGCTTACATAGCTATGTCTTTGTCAGGAGAAGTATCAGTAGTACCCTCGAGCAGACTGTTGGCATTGTTGGGTCAGGCCTTGAAATGGCAACAGCATCAAGGACTTTTACCTCCAGGCACAACAATCGATTTATTCCGTGGTAAAGCTGCCGTTCGTGACCAAGAAGACGAAAAGTACCCCACTCAGTTGACTAGACAAATCAAATTTGGCACAAAATCGCATGTTGAATGTGCCAGATTCTCCCCTGATGGACAGTATTTGGTCACTGGCTCGGTCGACGGTCTTATTGAGGTATGGAATTTTACTACTGGTAAAATCAGAAAGGACTTAAAGTACCAGGCCCAAGACAATTACATGATGATGGAGCAAGCAGTATTGTCCATGGCCTTTAGTCGAGACAGTGAAATGATTGCTGGTGGTGGTCAAGATGGTAAAATCAAAATTTGGAAAGTTCAAAGTGGTCAGTGTTTAAGGAGATTTGAAAAGGCACACAGCAAAGGTGTTACTTGTCTACAGTTCAGCAGGGACCACAGCCAAATACTTTCAGCATCTTTTGACTGCACAATACGGTAATATTTACATTTCATCAGTTCATAGAAATACTTTGAAATTCATATTTAATTTAAAATTATATTCTTAGGATTCATGGATTGAAGTCTGGAAAAACTCTAAAAGAATTCAGAGGACACACTTCATACGTCAATGAAGTTATCTTCTCTTCTGATGCTCACAATATCATCAGGTACATTTTCTATAACTCGTATTATTTTTTTTAAGCCAGTAAAGTACACATGGATTTTATTTTCTAGTGCATCCTCAGATGGCACAGTGAAAGTGTGGAGCTTAAAAACAACAGAATGCACTGGAACATACAAGTCACTTGGTGCTGCTGATTTAACTGTAAATAGCGTACACACACTACCAAAAAATCCTGAACACTTTGTAGTTTGCAATCGCTCAAACACTGTTGTTATTATGAACATGCAAGGACAAATCGTCAGATCATTTTCGAGCGGTAAGCGTGAAGGTGGTGACTTTGTGTGCGCAATTGTGTCTCCAAAGGGAGAATATATCTATTGCGTTGGTGAGGACTTTGTACTCTACTGTTTCTCAACTACATCAGGGAAACTAGAAAGAACATTAAATGTAAGTAATTGATTTACTTTTGAAATTATCATGCTACAGGACATGTAATGTTTACATTTTATTATTTTAGATTCATGAAAAAGATGTCATTGGCCTATCACATCATCCTCACCAAAATTTACTGTGTTCTTACAGTGAAGATGGTCTTGTAAAATTATGGAAACCTTAAGCTATTTAGAAACCATAGAACTCTACAACATACATTTTCCTATCAAATCTTTTATACAAAGTGTAGTTTAAAATATTTTATGGTAACTAACATTTTATACTATTGAATGGACTGAATGTAACTAAATAATATTAATGATCATATAATCCTATTGTAAATATTTGTAACAAATTAACTTTCGCAAGTCGTTGTAGTACAATAAAATATTGTCTCTATGACGGATAGTACAACATAAAAAATAGATTGTTTGAAAATACTTGCAAAATTTACAGATAAATTTTATTATCAATTCGAAAAGTGACAAATGGCGAGTCACTACCAATAACCCAATAGCTGATAAAGTGATATAAAAAAGTGAAGTTTTGCAGTTCTATCTTGCATCGTGCAGGAAAAGTGTACCTTAGTATGTAAATATGTGCTACCTACTACAACCTCGCACTCACTAGTCGCACTTTGCACACTGTGGCTTATAATAACAATAACATATTACCTACCCATACCTACAGTAAATTTAAAAAACTGTGCTCGTGCAGTACTTACTGCCGACTGGATGCTGTTACTGCTGCACACTTGTATACGTGTTTTGTGTTCTGCAGGTTCGACTCTAAGTCTCTCTCTCTGTCTCTCTGTACTAAGTGTTCTATTGAGTTGTTTGGTTGAGACCTGAGTGCGTGTTATGTTTTGTTTCCAATACACATACTAAAGCTACTTACATCTGCTCCGAAAAGAAGATATACTCAGGAGAGTGCTAGAACTATTGTAGGTATATCATACATATATAAATATACATGCACGTAACATCGGAGTATAACTCTCTCTCTCCATGCTTGTTTGACTCGTTTCTCTCTCGGTTGTTATTTTTTTTTCTTTACTAAGTATTTACATATATTCTTTGCCATCACCGTAGCATCATCCCCCCAGGTATACATGCAATGAATATTATCCCTTAATAAAGTTGTGTTGCCTACAATGCGTTTGTTGTAAAATAAATATAGATGTAAACGTCGTAATAATCATACACACACATAATTAAATGGCGAGGATTGCTAGAATGACGTTTGTGTAAACACACGCACAAGGCGTACTACTTTAAGTACCTATATAAAACGGTACGTCGTATATATTATGCACGAGCTTTATTCTCAGAATATACAGTGATTGTATTCATGTTATTACAGTATCAAGTTACAGTTAGTAAGATGATGTACAACAAAATTCGCAATGCAATATCAACGCGATCTCTCCCTGCTAGTGCCGTAAGCCGTTATCCCTTGTTTAGTATCAAAAACAAACACTATCTGATACTCCAATAATTCTCAACAAGTCGGTGATAAAAAAAGAAATGCGTACTGAGTGAGTTATCTTTTGTTTGCTGTAGCATATTTATACATATTCTTCACTGTGAAATATAATTTACAAGAGAATTCTGAATGAAAAAAAATATAACGGGACATTGTATGTACATTTTGGATAATTTGAGTACTCGAAATAATTACTGTAGCCCCTGAGCGCAAAAATAAGAGGATCCCTCGTTTATGTGTGCAACAAACAAAAAATTTTTTTGTACATATAATAAGCAAGCGAGTCGTAATTAAGCTAGATTCTCAACATATTATACGTAAAAGATATAAATAAAATGCGCCTTCACTCGAACGAGATTTAGACACGTAGGAGAATAAGCTAATGTGAGATTTCGAGCTTTTGATTAGTTTTTCTTGAACAAAAAAAAACTCAAGCAGCTCCTGAATCATCATCGAGCAATAAAAAGAACAACACATCACAAGGTCTGTGACTCCTATTTTTCTCTCGCACGCACCCCATCTCTTCTTTTTTGGTGCGTTTTGTTAGTATGTTTTATACTACGTACACACAAAAGTACACGCTGACGTCGCTGACGGCGCTCCAATTTATCAGCTGATCGTAGCGGAGCACACAAGTGACAAGTGTGTGCGTGTGAATGTATAGATGTACAAATAATATTGGGATTCGGGACTTGGAGAATATAGGGGAGAGCTTTAAGTAAGTCATTTCAGGTATGATAATTACTCCGATAAGTACTCAAAAATACACAACGAGTAGCGATGAGTTCATTCAAAGACACGTATCGGCCAATGTAAAAAAACTTGGACACTTTTACAAAAGTTAAGTGTATAAATACATCGTTCGAGAGGGTGAGTACGCGAGGACAGAGGACTTTCTTTCTCAATTTATTTATGCATACTTATACGATAAATATTACAAGTGTACGTGTGCGTGTGCACATGGCAAATACGTATACAACATCAGTACATGGGAGGTACATTAAACCGTCTCATGTATAAATTAGGTATTGAGATATACTGAAAATCTGTTGTTGGAGCACCCTCGTCGGATGAAAGATAAAAACGTACCTATATCTTACTTATAAATGCGCGTGTGCGTTATAATAATGTGAAAAATCACACGTGTAATAACAATAATTATCAGGCGCTGCCCCCCCATTTGCCGTTCGTTCGATTTTTTTTGAGTTTTATTGCTCGCACGTAGCTGTCAGTGTACCAATAACATTATAAATATAAAAATATAAGTATACGCGTACTTATAAAAAAAAAAAAAAAAAAAATATACGCGTACTTATAAAAAAAAAAAAAAAAAAAAAAAACCAAAGGAAGAGAGAGAAGCGAGGAGACAGGAGAGACGAACAGAAGAAAATAAGGTGTGTACGAGGTGCTATCAGCTATAGCGTTGTTGAAATTTTCATACATATACACCTAGATGGAAGAAAACAATTCAGAGTCCAGGCGTCGTAAGAAGCAGAAGGAGGAGCCCGACGACGACAACGAGGAGGATGAGGAGGAGCAACAGGAGCCAGGAAACCGCTGGCGGTCGTGCTGTCGGCGCTGCGGCAAAAAAAAGCGCAAGCAAAAGCACAACCACCACCACCACCACCATCATTCCCAGGAAGATGAGGAGGAGACAGCAACAAAGGGTCCTTCGGAGAAGCACCAGAGTGCTGCGCCTGTGGCTTTACAGCCCAGGCAGCTCAACCCCTGTAATCCGCTGGGGTATATCCTCAATAGGCAGATCGACCACAAGATCAACCACTGCAAGAGGCTGGTTGACGCCAGATTCCTCAACTCCAAGAATTTGTTCAGGAAGGATTTGTACGCCCACTTTGGATGCATCAATGCCATTGAATTCTCCCCCGAGGGTGATTTTCTTATTTCTGGTGAGTTTGCTTTGGTTGTTTTAGCTAGAATTGCTTGATAAAACTCGTGTTATTGGCCTAGATCAGTTTTGATTGATATTGTCAGGTTTGCTCGTGTAATACAATCTGGCTTGAAATTTTGATTGTGCTTGCTTATTGATTTATCATCGTTTGGATTGTTTAACGGTATATTGCTGCCAAATGTTGGACATGCATTGATTACTTTTTGTACAAAATTTTTCTTGTATGCTTATTGACTATGTCACTGGAATAAACATTTTATGAGTTTGCTATCAGGTATTTTTTAGAAAAGTTGAAAACAAATCTACAATGATTAAATCAGTTTCATTAAGGTATCAAAAAAAAAAATTTAATTATTTGGCGTAAGCAGTACAACGTTGTTCATGTTTCATTTTAAACTTGAAGTGCAAGATTAATTAAAAAATTATTTGTAGAATCTAGAGCAAATCTATTTATACTTTGTTTTATAATCAAATTTAAATTGATCCTCATTGTAAGTAGTGAATTTTTAAGAAAACTCAATGACGACTATGTATTTTAGAATTGTTAGAGTTTACTTTTTAAATATTCAATCCTTTCACATTAATTTTATCTTGTATAATCGTGGACTACAAATCATTATTACAATTGGGGATTTTTTTTTTACATTACCTCATTTTATGAATTAGTCTATTTCAACAGCTGTGAAAAAAAAAAGTGTTTTCAATACGTTGGGGAAAACAGTTGTTTAAAAATTTTCTTATATAAATTATCTATCTAAAAACCACATTCCTGACACAAAAACTTTGAAATGCTCCATTGCAATCAGTAAACTGGTATAATTTTGTTTTACATTTTAGGAGGGGATGACAAAAGAGTTCTCCTATGGAAGGTAGAGCAGGCTATTCAAGAAGTTGGAAAGCCTGTAGTGATGAAAGCTCAGCATATGAGCAACATATTTTGCCTTGGTTATAACTGTAGCAAGACTAAAATTTTCTCTGCTGGAAATGATGACCAGGTCATTGTTCACGATTTACAAACGTAAGTTGCCAATTCGGCCAATTCGTTTTTTCTATGACATAATTTTGGATGATTGTTCTTCAATATATTAATCATTGGTAGAAAGAAAAAAATAATGCGACCGCTTGAGGTTTCAAACGAAAACATATAAGAATATATCTGATTATTCGCAAAAACAATTTTCTTTCTTTGCAGCACTGATGTTCTTAATTGCTTTCGTCATGAAAAACCAGTTTATGGCTTGTCGATTCACCCCCATAATGACAATGTTTTCTCAAGTGCTTGTGACGATGGGCGCATTCTTATTTATGATATAAGAGGAACTGCTAGTTCTCCAGAAACTTTTTTCTGCATTGCACAACATAAAAATCCTTTCCACTCAGTTATGTTCAACCCAGTTGATCCAATAACATTAGCTACTGCAAATACAAAAGAAGGCGTTAGTTTATGGGATGTACGAAAGCCGTTGACGTAAGTAATCTAATAAAATGAACAAAAATAATTGAAATCATAATTATTGAATTTGTTAAAATAATATACTCTAAAATTGAAAATTCACTGTCACATGTTGCTAAAAACAAATTTTTTGTTTAGTTAACATTTCAATAAATTACCAGAAATAATTCGTTATCAATTAGGTATAAATTATGTTTCCGATTTCCAGTCCGGTTTTGCGTTATGGATCCGAATCACCAGCTCAAAGCTGCATGAGCGTTAGATTTGATAAAACGGGCAAACTTTTACTTGCTCTTAGAAGAAGATTACCTCCCGTTTTATACTCTGTAAACTCTCCCGATCACCTGTGCCAATTTGATCATCCTGGGTATTACAATAGTTGTACAATGAAATCATGTTGTTTTGCCGGTAACGACGACGAATATGTATTATCAGGTATAAAAACGTTTTTCTCTTGAAAAGAATACATAATTACATTGTATATAATTAAATTTTTCTTTAATCACAGGCTCGGATGATTTTCAATTGTACATGTGGAAAATTCCTACTGATGATACAGTCAAATGGATCGATTCCGCACACATGGTACTGCGTGGTCACAGATCCATTGTCAATCAAGTGCGTTATAATCAAGCTAGTTGTCTACTCGCTTCTTCGGGAGTTGAAAAAGTTATAAAGTTGTGGTCACCATTTCCCATTGGTGACAAATGCCAAGGAGGCTTAAAAGTAAAGTCAACTGCAGCATATACAAGCAGTAATAGCGGTTCAAACATTTCACGCTCTAACAACATTTACATTTTCAGAGAGATGTCGACAAAGGAGCAACACAACGTAGAGTATACTCTCACGAAGAGTACATTGCTTTGGTTTTGAGAAGTGGTCAGTTCATGACCCACGACTACAGCCATCAATCAACCGACGAGGATCAGAGAATGATGGCCTTTTTCGATTCGCTTGTACAACGAGAAATTGAAAGTTGGAGCTCTGAGGATTTGCGAACGCCCCAGAGCCCGACAGACATTGAAAATAACAACACTACAGATCAAAACAATTCGTCAGACTCGTATGGTGAGTTTTAATTGAAATTCACAACGTAACTGATTTTAATAGTTGCGTTGATCTTATTCTAGATTCCGCTGCATCTGATAATCGGATGATGCGTTGCTACATCACTTCGACACCCAACAATACGGTCAATTCGCACGAAAGACCGCTCGACTCCCCTAACCGCATAACTCGACTGATAGCCAATAAACGCGATAAACTAATGCGCCACGCAGCACTGGGTAACAACACGCAGCAGCTGCACTCCCGGAATACCATGAAAAGTCATCGCAATCATAGTTACAATACCTCGGCAGCGAACGCTGGGGAGTCGGGCTCGACGAGCGAGCCGGAGAACACTGGGTGTTCAACGCGCAGTAAAAGCAAAAATAAAATAAATCTTAGGTCCAAGGCCGCCAAGAGGAAACACGGGGTTCGCGTGTCCAAGAGGACGAGAGCCAGGAGAAAACAGAACAACGCCAAGGATGACAGTGACTCGGAACCGGAGGTGCTGCCACCGTCCCGTGCATGCAAAAGCAACAATTATGTAAGAACCTATTGGCTTGACTGTAATTCAACCGAATCGAACATTGTGATGAAATAAAATGAATAACTAAATTTTTATATGTCGTATACAGCAATCAGTAGACGCTACGCAGCCAAGCACAAGCACGGGGGTAATATCCTCACGGCGCTACGCGGCTCCAACACTGCGCGCGAAACCACGCCGTCGACAATCACGGTCCAGTAGCAGTAGTTCCGAGGACGTGGCCAGCAAAGCAGTCGCGACCACCGCTACCACGAACAAGCGTACCAAGTCCACGAAAAGCGACTCCGACAGTTCGGCCAAGGAGGCCCCGACGCAAAAGCGCAAGCAGCTCGTTCGCAACAAGAGCAAAGTCGCCTGCGCGTCTTCGTATTCGCGCCGTGACACGCGCAGCTGCAAGAACAAACGTCAAAAGATCAACCACCCCGAGGTCGAGGGTAGCAACAGCCACGCTGCTGGAAACTCCCGACAACAACGGGACAGCGCGACATCGGTTGTTGGGCAGAATGGTGGTAGCTGCTCGGCCATGCAAATGGTCTCGACGCCACCACCATTGACCAGGAGCTCGAAGCGATCGGTGGCTGCCTCCGACAGTGGGATCGGTACAACTGTGGAGAAGAGCGGTGCCTCGACCGTAGAGAAGCGCACCCGGTTTGGTCGTGCCGAGAGCTCGGACCGCGAGCGCTCGACCAAGAATTACGAGCTGTTCACCAAACGGGTCGACCAGGTGAGGCGCGGGTACAGAAAACGCAGCATGCCCACCGACAGCGACTCCTCGGACGAGTGAGGCGACAAGAGGCTGATGCCTTCACTTTTGCGCGTGTACATAGTGAATCTGTGATGATTATGCGAGCTATATATTTTTATATAGGACTGTGTATGAGTTCGAAGTGTGCTATTTTATCGTGTCTTGCTTATTCTCGATTTTTTTCTCTCTTTTTGTTTCCGTTTCTTTTTTTTTTCTACTTTCTAATATTTGTGGATGTTTATTTAAATTTTAGTTGTATCCATAACTTTTCTTTCTGTTTTTTTTTTTTTTTTTTATTTATTTCAACTTTTATTGTCCTTGAATTTTTATAAATTTAGGCATTCGTAACTAAGAAAGATTGATAATCAACAGCAATAAATTGTATCCAAGTTTCATATTTCAATTATTTTCATATCCTAACCCTTGATTCGTTTATTTGTAAATAGTGATTTTTTTCTTCCAAAAAAATTGGCTGAATGAAAATTATAATGATATTTAAAGTGTGCTATAAATACAGGTAATGGATAAATTGGAAAAAAGTGTATTAAATTTACTCGTTATAATTAAAATTAAAATTAATTCTTAACATATTATTTGTACTGACATCCACACAAAACATCATCTTCTCTCTGTATCTTTGTAGGGTTATTTTTTACTTTATCAGTAATACCAACATAAGACTTAAAAAATAATATGACACAAAAGAGCATAAGGACTCTTCTAATGTAGATATAAACATTTGTGCATGAATTATTCAGTGCGATGTAACATAAACAAAATACATCGTGTATTGTTGAAAAGTTGATGAGTGAAACGGGGAAAAAGCAGAGTACGGGCAAATTAAGTTTTCAATGAAAAATATTTGATTTTTAGCTGAAATGTGTGACCCTTTCGTACTTTGTCCGTGCCTCGCTCTAATGTTTGCTTTTCTAATAATAATAGGCAAATAATAAACGGAGATAAACAACAAAAGCTTGTGTACTACTTTTATTTTGATTTATCATCAAATTTATTTATAAATCTCTTTTACATTTATGAAAAAAGTTGATTTTCATAATACAAAAAAAAAAAAAAAACGCCCCTAAGTAATTGGTACGAAGCTTCCTCAAAATCCTTTAATTAAACTCGCTATTTTAATACTATTTGGATTTTTACATTTAATTTAACTTCCTAAAATTAGTTTTTGTTTAAGACCAGCATAATTAATTAATTATGCATCGCGCACACGCAGTAAATAAAATAATTTGAAAATTCGTGAAACATTGCGATATTATTAGATTTCACACTTGCCGTTGTGCCGCTACCGCTTATCGAGATACATACAAAAGAATTTCTTTCGGTAATTGTAACGCCAGGGATCGTTCAAGTGCATTATGATTATTAGGTAAGCACAACTTCTAACAACACATGTATAGGTAAGTAATATTTTTGTAATCATATAATCGAACACCGGTATCAAAAAATGTAAATTATCAAATTAATAATTAATACCTCCGATGTGACTAAATGTTTTAATTTTAATGTTTTTATTTATCTGAAGAAAGAGACAAAAACATCCCGAGAATGGAGCTGTTTTTTATAAGATTTCGAATTGTTACTTCTTTTTGATAGGCGTACGTAAACAAAATAATGTAGTCTTGAAATGGTAGTTTTCCTACGAGTTTGAAAAGTCTTTGTTTGCGAACCGAGAGGTTTGCGGCCCGAGCCAAAGGCGAGGTCCGTAACGAGGTTCGTAATGGTAGTTTTCCTACGAGTTTGAAAAGTCTTTGTTTGCGAACCGAGAGGTTTGCGGCCCGAGCCGAAGGCGAGGGACGTAACGAGGTTCGTAAAGGAGACTTTTCGAACGAGTATCGGAAAACTGCTTTTTTTCCCGAGGAAGTAACAGCCTCCCAAAACCACCCGAGGGCGGAAAATAGAATATAAAGAGATACGACACCCGCAAAGAAATATGAGACAACTTGGCTCATGTGATATAAAAAGGAAACACTTGATGCATCTGACAAAACTAGAGAATGAAACTGACTTGGAGCAAACAAATGGTGATAAAATAAATAAATACTTAGTAACATCTCATACGAGTATTTAACAGAGAATATTACTTCATATTACCCACAATTATTAAATATAATTACAAACTGTTGTAAAATCATGGTANATAAATTTTATAAGAGCTTTGACGGCTTGGTGGTTAGTGCGCTAGACTTTTACTGGAAATAACTCGAAGAGTTACGGGTTCGAATCCCGTCAAAAACCATCGAGATTTATTTTCTTGTATACAAATCGATCTTACGTATGGAGTGATAACTAAATAATTTTGTAACGAGGCGTTTTACCATATTATTGTGATATACTTTGAGTATTTTAACCATTTCATAAGTTAAAAATTATTCAAAACATAAAGTGCATTTTTATGATTGAATAAATAAGGTGATAACGAATTTTGGTAGATAGGAGGATAAGCAATAATTTATTCTTGCAAATATGAGTAAGTTTGCGATAAATTCAGTATAACACTCCCCCTGAGCTTATTCCTCGTACTCAATTTGTGATTTATGTACTTAGGTTCATCATATAGCTGGTGGTATATCCTTGCATCGTTTGATTTTTCCTTTTTTTGTATTATGATCGCCGTAAGATTTCTCATTGTCACATAACTGAAGCTTTTTCTTTTATTGTAGAATTGGTTAAGACATATCACATTTTTTATTTTTGACGTTTTTTAAAAAATCAGTTAAACTAAATTGTAATATTAAAAAAAAAAAAAGGTTTACCCCGTGACAATGATGTGGTGTAATAACATTTTATTTACTTGCAATTGTCCTTTTAAAAGCAACAACTAGACAAAAAAAATCGTACGTTTTATTAAAGTTTATATAAAAATGAGTTACAGAATTATATTTCGTATACTTTTATTACAATCTTGATACGCGTCGCATGTACAATGATATAGACATGTAAAATTCATGATATAGACATGTGATAGATACAACTTTTCTTTTTCCACGAATTGTATTGATACACAAAATGACACTTTAATCATTACGGTCATTATCAAAAGCATTTAATTGACTTACAGTCGTATATTTTATCTGTTCGTGCAAGTAAGTGGACATTCTATGACTCAACGGTTCAAAAGCTAGTTTGACTCAGCGTTGGGGTACACATTATTCAAAAAGCCAGTACTCACGTTAGTGTCCCCGTGCGATCAGTACATTTTATTATAGTTCTGTTAGTACTTATATGTTATAGTCGCACTAAAATGCTCAGAAGCGGGCCATCAAGCTGTCGTATAAAATAGTTGCTGTTGGCGTTGTCCCGGATTCTTTTAGCCAATCAATAAGGTATTTGACTGATTTTTTTATGCTTGAAACTGCAACACTTGTAGCTTCACGAAATTCAATTTTTTCCGCATAAATTTTTAAGGAGTCGTGCATAGATATCTGAGATTTCACGTACTTACAATTGAAAAAACAATACAAACAATAAATAAAAGCAAATTGGAATCTCATATCGTGGCTCGTGTTTAATGTTCCCAGCTTGTGACACCTAATAAGAGAGAGAGAGAGAGAGAGAGAGAGAGAGAGAGCCCTGTACTGCACACGTGTGTGATCGGGATGATTTTATCAACAAAACTAATACTTATACGGTAGCGTTCCTAATTTTCCACTCTGCTATTATTGTGTTGTAATACTTCATGGAATTATTTCTATTGTAAAATTAAATTGTTTTTTCAAAAACAAAATTGAGCTGCAGTAAATTAACGATGTCCATTTTCCACGCGCTACTAAATTAAATGTCACCTCAGGTCAGAAGCAACAGTATGGACTTGCACCATTGGACTTTCACTCTATTGGCACTCGTAGCTGCGGTGAGTACCTACAATCTGGACATATCACGAGCCAAAATATTCTCGGACCCAAATGCCGCGTCATCGAGACGGTCCAGTTACTTTGGTTACTCGGTGGCGCTCTACGTCCACCAAAACGTTTCGCTGCTGTTGGTGGGGGCACCACGGGCCAACTCCTCGCGTCGGGACGACAAGGAGCAGAAGGTCTACGAGCCAGGGGCTGTTTATTACTGCGACTTGTCGAACGATAATTGCACCGAGTGGCACTTTGATAATATTACAAGCAATAACAAGGGAAAAAAGGGCATCCAGCAAATTAAAAACCGTGCCTGGATCGGGGCTACAGTGGTCGTGGAGAACTCAACGAGTCCAAGAGTCGCGGTATGTACTTTGATCTCATAGTTTATTCACTTCATGCAAATCATATTGTTTGAAAATGTTAGATAGGTTTTTGAAAAAAAAACTAGAATTTTTTTGTGTAGTCTATACCGAACTTTGAACGACCACACTGGAGATTAAAATCTTGTGGGCAGTGGTTAAGAAATTGTCGGGAAAAATACAGAATGAGTATATGACTAGAAGTCATTAACAGCAGAGAAAATAAGTGAAACAAATAATAAGGCAAAAACTGGGAATTATATGTTATAACGACCAAAAACGATGTTTTGTGGCATCGGTAAACTTTCAAAATCACTACACGAAACGTGAGGATTCGCGTCTATAAAACCATTATAATGTCGCGTCTATACTACCCTCAAGCAATAATAATTTCATAAATGTATGTAAAATATATTTTTCCGCCCTCGGGTGGTTTTGGGAGGCTGGTACTTCCTCGGGCAAAAAAGCAGTTTCCCGGAACTCGTTCGAAAAGTCTCCTTTACGAACCTCGTTACGGACCTCGCCTTCGGCTCGGGCCGCAAACCTCTCGGTTCGCAAACAAAGACTTTTCAAACTCGTAGGAAAACTACTATTTCGCAATAAGTGTGCGGAAAATGGGTGTTTTCCGTACTGGTATTAGTGTGGAAAATCGATTTTCCCACATAGTGTGCGGCAAAGGTTTTTGCCGCACAGTGTGCGGAAAAGGTGTGTGGAAAAGGTTTTGCCACACACCGGAAAAAATTTTGCTACACACTGGAAATTAAAATTCAAACCTATTTTGTACCTATTTTCCTCACACATTGCGAAAAAACTTGTACGCAACTCGTGCGGGACGATTTCCCGCACTCGTGTGATAGACTCGCACTCGTGGCCGGTGACGGTAACTCGTACCTTGCGATCAACTGGTGCTCGTTCAACTGGTACTCGTTCCCGTCAACTCCAGCACTCGTGTGAGTCAATCACTACTCGTGCGGGAAATCGTCTTTTCCGCACTTGTTACGTAAATAACTATGTTTATTGATTTATTCAAAGATATGCGCACCACTGTGGAAAACTAGATACAGTTTTACTGAAACGAAACATTATGACTCGACGGGCATGTGTTACTCCGTGACATTAACGAACAAAGGCGTTCTGAAGGCAACGGCGTACTATCCAAACAGCAACTTCGTGGTTGACGGGACAAAAGACTCGTACTTCAAAAATTTTAATCTTGACGAGGCTGGATTCTCAGCTCACATCGAGCCCGACGCTCATCGTTTGATGACCGGGGCTCCGGGTGTATCGAAGTGGAATGGCTCCATGATCAGCCTCGAAGATGACCGTTGGATCAATCAACAAGAAAAATTCCCCACAACTGATTTTGTTCGTAATTTTGGATTGAAAATGGGCTATTTTGGTAAGCTGCTCACACGCGAACGTAAAACGATATCCGCGCATACTTACACACAACTATCCGATCAACTGGAAATTTTTATCGATGATTTTATATTTTATTTGAAATCGTACATTTTTAGATGATTTTTACAAGTCAAGACTTAAACAGTTATTGGTAACATTATAAGAGTATCAAGAACACCCAAATTTTTTGTACCTTTGAGAGTTGGAAAATTTTGAATCTTGGTATTCTTAAAAGAAGTAAATAATTCAGCAAATAGTTGCCCTTGAATTGTGGATGGTAAAACAAAGGTTGGAAACCGACAATTGTGGTCATTTTATGCTAAATTAGTTAGATATACAAATATTAAATAACTGTTGATGGGTGAAACGGATTTTCAAAATTCAGTGGTAAGGATTTTTTTCATAAGGCATAAATGTCCAAACTCGTTGGTTACTTGTAGACCTTACTGTATTGATGTTTCTAATAAACTTATATGTTAATCTGTTCTTTTTGAAATTAAAAAGTTGGTCCATAAAATAACAAAGTTTTTAGGTGACGATTCTTAAGTCCCTTTGTCGTAAGGTCCTTAAATGCATGTTTCTAACTATTTAATTTTCACTTTTTTATCAGGTTATTCAATAACATCTGGAAATTTTTACAAGGAAAAGAAACGTTTCTATGCCACTGGAGCTCCTCGCAGCAACAATTTAAGAGGAACAGTTTTCATTTTCGATACTTTAAGAAGTATTGGTGAAGATTTCCTGGATATGATAGAGGAATTTGGAGGCGAAAATTTTGGCGAATACTTTGGTTCCAGTTTGACTGCCTGTGACGTCAATGGTGACGGCAGGGATGATTTGATCGTAGGAGCTCCACTGTGGACTCACAACATCGACGAGGGACGCGTGTACGCTTACGTCTCCGAAGGCCAGGTGAGCGCAATTAATGTTAAGCCTGGGGTTTTTGTTCTTATCGTCAAATATGATAAGTGCAACTATTGGTAACTGAGGTGTCTAATTTTTAAGAAAATTTTATTATTTCTCTAATTAAAAGTGGATGAAATAACGTAACAGGGTAATTCCAAATGAAAATTAAAACTTTATTAATGATTTGTCAGATACAACTGTATATTGAATCGGATTGAAACTATTTGACTCTCGAATGATCAAAAAACCAATTTTTTAAATCGACAAATCGTAATAAAACCTCAATAAGGTATATAAAACTTGGAACATTTCTCTATGCCTGATTATACACATACACACACTTTGTTAAAAAAAGGGAGATATTTTTATTCTTAAAACCATAAAAAACATTTCTAACATAAGTTTTTGGAAAAAAATTTCATTGGCTTTCTTCATCAAGAAGAAAACAGGGCTATAACTAGTTTAAAAAAAATTTAGGGACAAAGGATTAACGCTACTTTTGTTTAAAAAACGAGTTGGCCTCGTTCTTTGTATTATTAAAGGTCGGGAGGTCCAATGTAACATCGTATCGACGGTATTTCCCTTAGTCCGCCTATTTTTGAGAGAACAATTGTATATACGAGGTCCAACCGATGAAAATCATGAGTTTAACCCATACTATTCTACTTTTACAGTCAAACTGGAAAACTTACATCATAAATGGAACGCGACCATTTGGACGTTTCGGCAGTTCATTGGCTTGCCTGGGTGACCTCGACCACGACGGTTTCCAGGACGTGGCTGTTGGGGCACCCTACGAGGATGATGGACAAGGGGCCGTCTATATATACAGTGGCAGTGGTGATCGCGAACTCTTCCTCAAGCCAAGCCAACGCGTGAACGCCAATAATCTGTTACCTGCACTGACACCCACGTTGCGGGGCTTTGGGTACTCGCTGAGCGAGCCGGCACGTGACGTCGATGGTGATGGCTTCCCTGATCTCGCAGTGGGTGCCTACGTGTCCGGCCACGCGGTCTTCCTGCCCAGTAGTCCCGTCGTCAGGGTGAATGTCGTGCTGCAGCGCTACCTTAATGAAAGCCTTGCCTCGAACTCGATGCACTTCGCCTTCAAGGCTTGCGCGGAATATCATGGTCACTTGGTTGCCTTTAGTGAGTGTATATTTCATTCAATTTCATACAAGAGAAGGGGGTTGGCAATTTTGGAGGCTTCAATCGAACGGTTAACTAGATTTTTCCAATTTTTAAATTTATTTTTTTTAATTTTTGTCGGGAATTTTGAAGAGAACTTTAAGTGAGATTCTTTCAATTTCTTTTTTTTTTTCATCTAATGCCATTGAGTTGAGTACCACACACTTTTGTAGTTTCTACACATGATGCGCTGTGTACAATGTATAAGTTCTTTTTTTTCAAATGACAAGTTATTATCCTTTAAAATTGGGATTTAGGGACTCCTGCAATGAATTTATACATTCTCTATCGGCAATATATGAAATCTGTTATATGATAATGTACCAAAACTAGTAACGTTTAGTTGTTTGTTTGAAATCTAAATAAAACGAATCATCAAACCAACAAAAAATGGTAATTTAGCAGCGATAAATGATAGAATTGTTATCGAGATTATATTACGTTGTTTACAGACGCAACTATTTTTGTAAGATTATACGAAGTAACGGGACACGGTAAAAAAGAACTTAATTTTGGTCATACAACGAGAAGAGCCATAACTTTGAAACCCGCGGAGCAACATTGCGAATTTATATACATACTACGAGAGGTAAGAAAAGTTTATCATTTACCTGGATTTTATTATATCTCTTGGCAATGTAACAATATTTTATGAATTAATTAATAATTGGAGTTTTTAGACTGTACGAATGAAGATTGAATACCGAATTATTTAATTTAACATTTATTGTAACAATTTGAATTACACGTATGTAATTAATTCTATGACACCACAACGTGAACTAAAAAATCTCAAAATGATTCATGAATAAAAAAAAAAAAAATATACATGTTTCAGAACTCCATAAGATACGTGGAAAATCCGATACAAGTTAATATGAATCTGAGATGTGGTCACGTAGATAGTATATCCTCCACCAGATGCTTTGCAATGATTCACCCACAATCAAAAGATAGCGACAGTATTCTAGCTTACGCCCGCGAGTGTGGCTCTGACGACACATGCCAAGCTGATTTGCGAGTGAGCATTGAAAGTAATCTCTCGGGTCCTAACAACAGCTACACGATTGGATCCAAGAAAAACGTTAAAGTCACCATATCCGTTATAAATCTCGAAGAGCCCGCATACATGCCAGAGGCCGTCATTTCCATCCCAAAGCCGATTACAATGTTTAGAGTACCTCCGAATTGCAAAACATCGTACCAAGTTAACAACGATTTGGTACTAACATGTCAACTACCAAATCCGCTGCTTAAAGAAGTAAGAGTGCTACGAAATCACCAAAATATTACTACACACAGTTTTTATACATTTTTTTTCATGTTATTTCATTTTTTAGAGTCCAGGCATCTTAAATTTAGAACTAGACATGAGCGCAATAGAGTGCCCTGAAAAGTATAAAGAAATAAATGTAAAAGTTACCACTCGTAGCGTCGAAGAAAAACTCAATGACAATTCTAAATCATTAGTAATTACCTACGATGTTAAAGCGGATCTCAGAATTGTCGGGTAAGTAAATCGGATGAAATTATTATTCCATCAAATACTATTTGTTTTTTTTTTAAATCAACTAAAAAAATATGGTTTTTAGAAAATCTCAAGAAGAGCGTTACTCTTATCTGGACAGTGATGTGGACGAAATGCACTCCAAGGACTTGATTATCCATCACATTTACGAAATATACAAGTTAGGTCCTACTCCGATCCAAAAGGCTGACTTTTTTGTTGATGTTCCAGTGCAGTTTCAAAATTTGGTGATTGCAAATATAAGCTCAGTACATGATTCTCTCGCCGGACACGAATTCAATTGCACACTGGAGGTGCTGTCAAACCACAACTCTTTCAACCAAAAAAATCTTTTGGATTCATTCGTTTCTTCTCAAGATGTGTTTTCTATCAATTGCATGAATCCTGACGTTATATGTCAAAGTCTCCGCTGCGATGTTGGTCCTTTCATTGAAACGACTTCTGTAGCCGAATTGATCGTACACATAGACCTTCAAGTTTCAAATGACATAGGTTTGTTTAACCACTTCCCTACTTGATCATTGTCGATATTTAACTGCGATTTATTTATATACTGAAATCTGATAACCGTAATTTATTTTTTAGTTGAAGCAGCAAAAGGAAAAAATATAATTTATTCGAGCCAAGGGTTCGTCGAGATTGTAGTACCCAATGTTCAATTCGTGACAAATAACACAAGGCAGAATTTCGTGCAGATCTCCACGGAAATTTCCAGTTACAATCACGTTGGAATATCCATATGGATAATTGTCTTGCCGTCGACTTTACTAGGACTCGTTATATTTGTTATCATGATTTTTATATTCTATAAACTAGAATTTTTCAAGAGAAAACGAAAAGACGATTTACAGTCTTCAAAACCAACGGTAAAAGTGAGTTAGTGTACATCTTGCTGTGTAAAAGTATTACTCTATGCAATGAAAGAATGAATGTATGAAAAGGAAAACATAATACAAATAATGTTTTGTGTACTTACAAAAAAAAAAACAAAGAAAATAGTGGTTAGTGTACGAAAAAGATTCGGTAACACTGCTTCAGTGACGAAAGAACAAAGATTCATGATAAATTTTAAATTATATTACCAGTATATTTTTTTAAAAATTTATTCATTAGTTTTCAGCCTTTTGGCCCAAAAAATGGACTCTGTTTGCAAAAAAGCTAATTGACGCCACACTTAAAAATTAAGTTTCATGTTACCAATGTCATTGCGATTACTTTAATTCTAATCATTATGATGGAATATTGTGTGAAGAATAAATTTATAGAAATTATTGTGAATGAGGCACCCCAGTGTATAAGCTATGTCTAAAAACCTAGATAATTTAGCCATGAATATTAGTAATAAATTCAGTGATAGTTTTAAAGTAGGTATTAAGTATTAATCTAAGACTAGTTCAATCGGATTATACAAATTATTTATGATAGTGGAATTCACTGATCACATTTGTAAAATAAATATTTTTGTACATATCAAACTATTTTTTTCAATAATCACCGACCATCGTACCTAATAAAATAATCTTTTCCTAGTGGACTTAAAATTTATTCCGATTTTCTCAAGAAACTCAAGAAAATATTCAACCCTACATTCCGAAATTTGAACCAAAACCTTCAGCTTGTTAACCGATGCTGTAATTCACTGGGCCACAATATAAGTCTAGTTTTCATAAAAACTTAACTGGATAGGTTTTGAAGAAATCTTGCAAGATTATATGATTAAAATGTCAATAAATTTATCATGTGCAAGAATCAATACGGTAAAAATAACTAAAAATGTCAGAAAAAATCATTACTTACTTGTATGTTGATATTTTACTCTACAAAATTTGAAATATCGTCATACACAAGAATTCGACCCCACATTTTTAGAACAAGATAGTAAGACAATTAAGCAACTTCAAGAGATAGATCATTCGTTCCCCGCGAAACGGAAATTGGACTAATTAAAAAAATTTCATAGAAGTTGTATATTTTAAGACAGAACAACTTTTTTACATTACAAATATATACCGTAAAACATTATTAGCATCGATGTATTCTAATTGATTATAAGAATATAATAATTGTGTATAATTTTCTTTGATTAATTTGTGATTTAAGTGCTTCGTAGCCAACAATAAATTATACATTATGGCTACTTTGCAAATTATTAACAACACAGGCCTACAACGTGAGTGTACAGCAGAGTAATTTATTTCTCTAGAAAATGCTGAGATACTAAACGGTTGCATCATGAGTCGAGACGTTATGAGTCATGGGATTCAAATGTTTGATGAAAGTTGATTGCAATAATACCAGATTCACATTTGAACAACGATATATAACACCTATTTTGTTAAAATATCAATGTTACTAAAAAATAGATGTAGTTAAACAACCGTCTAAAGGTTAGTTTTTTTACCCGGTATAATGTACCGTGAATGCTCAAATTTAACATTTTTATAGACTTCGCTTTATAGAGATATCGCTGACAACGTAATAGAATAGAAAATTTTCAATGTTTTGATTAAAAGATCAAGATTTTTTCAAAAAATTTAATATTATCACATGAACTGATTCTGCATATTTTGGAGCATTTATGAACTTAGTAAGTACCACAGATACTTTAGTTACCTTTTCGATTTCATATCTTTTTTTTACTAAAATGTTCTGATGATATTCATACACATATTTGTTACAAAAAATTTAACTAATGAAATAAATATTAGGTTACACGATTTAAACTATAAAAACTCGAACTTTGCGTAGTTTGTCCAAATGTTTTAAACATAAACACAGTACCAAGACTATTGTCCTTAGCGGTGGCAAGTCACGGTGAAATGTGTTGTTCGAAGATTATTTTTTCGTCAAGTGAATGTTATCACTCACCGATTTTTTGCGTATCGCACGCTTTCTTCCGGCAACTCTGACGAATCAGTAAGCATTTTCACATAAATACAACAGTCGAGGTTTTGCATGGCTGCAGCTGCTCTTCACGCTTGAGTAAGACAAAATACTTTGAAGTAATTTACTTAAATCCAAATGTTTTTATTTATTTTTTATTTTCACTTTCGTATTAAGTGTCAGCGTACCATAAAAATTACAGGAGTAAGATTTGTTTGAACGGTAAAAAATCTGTTTAACGATAAGGTGGTGGCACTGATTCTTAAACATTTTTCCGCGTTATATATAAATAAGTATGCAAGACCGAGATTATAAACTTATTCGCAATGTTGTTGACATTTTCCTGTAAAAAAGGTATAATAAAGATAATTCTGATAAACTTTTATCAAGAATGAGAGAAAGTCAAAATTTTCAAACCAAAATCAACGATTTTTTTATTATGCCGATAAATATAATTTTTTTGAAACTTATGCTTGATTTTTCGATTTTTTTATACTTTTACTTAATTTGAGGAAACGCTTAACATAATTTTAAGGTAAAAAAACATGCTGTGTAGAACCCTGAAAGAAAAAAATTTCAAATTAAACTAATAACAATAAAAATTACTGTGTCATCACTAACGGCTGGTCTTATTTCTTCGATTACAGACGTTTAAGCGTCTGTTAAACTTCGTTTAAAAATAAATTTACTGTTCGCGACCAAATAACTATTTTTAACTAAACGGCATTAGGTATACCGTTTTGGACGGTCATTTTTATACAGTACAAAAACTAAAAATCAGCGCAGTAACGTTGAATTCACTGGAAAAAAAGTTCGTCAAATCAAATAAACGTTTATACGAACACAAACAAATAAATATTTCTTTCAATAAAATCAATATTTACTTAAATCTATCAAGTATAACGTCATAAAGAAAACATTTTTTTTGCAATTTGAAAAAAATTTTGTACCATTTTTAATTTTTTTTTATATATTCGATCAATCGGAAAGTATGTAATAAATACGTTACAACGTTAGCTAAGAATATGTAAGTATATGAATACAAGTATCGAAATGCTGAAATATTTCTTCCATTAAAAACAATTTTTTTTCTATTTACAACCATGATATGACAAAATTTCATCAGTATGAGAACTAAAGGGTCCAAAAATACACTTTTATTTATGATACTGCTAGTGAATAAGGGTAAAATAAAAATTAGAGAATTATTTTCTTTTTCAAATACTAAAAATATCCATCTGTTTATTATTTCAAACTGAAAAAATTTTCTTTCAGTAAGAATGAATGTAATACTAAACAAAATATTATTTCAAGTGTTGTTTTCATGAACATTACTTTCGAAACTTTCAAACTTTACGGAATATGTTAATCAGACTTATGTTTATTTCACGTTTGATCGGTGATTTTTATATAAACGTTACGTGACATATGCTAATGATAAAATTTTATTCATAAAATTTGTATTTATAAAATACTTGTAATCGTGATGAGACAACCTACTATTCAAGTGTTTTTATTTACACAAGACTTTGACGTAATTCAGTTGCGTTTAGTACTATTATATACATTAAAAGAGACTTATAACTTTAAGAAATTTTTATTGAACAAGTCACATGGTTTTCAAAAATTTTTGATTAAGAAAGTCAATGATATGCTTAGTTTGAAAAAATTGTAAAAACATTTTATTTAACGGCACAGCTTGATTAAAACATGTAGTTTTTATAGCAAAAGATCGATTTATTCATTCAGAAACAATAAACTTATTAGGTGTGTGAAATATTACAATTATTATCGAAAAAATATGCGACAGAACTTCTATAACTAAATTTTTTTTAGTACAGTAAAAGTTTTTGAATACAAAATTTATCTCTAAACAGATTGTAATTCGTGAGAAAACGAACGTGAAGCGGATAACTATTACTATACATTAAGTACATAGTAGTAAGAACGAAGTATCCTTAAGCAAGACTAACAGCATATAATATTATCATTGAAATCTCAGTCTGTGTAGAATACGATAAGGTTTTTATTGTGCAACTTTGATTTCTAACTGTAATTACTGCACTCCATTGGAGACTATATATTTACATTGGGTACCTAACAGTCGATTTTCAAAAAAACTTGTTTTTGTAATTTGTGATGTATATTTCAATGTCATTATTTACTTTTAGAATTTATGTCAATAAGCTTTTTTATGGTTGATTGAAGACATTTTTTTGTTTGATATATCTTATTAAGATGTTTTATTACGTACGCAAACAATAACAACGTTTAACATTTAAACGACCCGGTTTAATAAACTACCTCAAAATAAATGAAAGCTGATGTGTATAAATTATTTAAATTTTCTTAAATTTTCAAGTTGGTAGTGGTTTCACAAATTCTTCCGACACTCTATAATGTATGTTTGTATTATTATTATTATTATTATTATTATTATTATCATTATTATTGATTTGAATAATTATTTTTTCTATTCACGTTATTGTTAATATCGATTTCAAAGATTTGTACAATACACATTTATTTGAGAACTGATCTGTCAGGGTAGGAAAAGTAATTACAAAAGATGTCAGAACAATTCAAAAAAGTTTTTTTCGTGCTTAATGCCAATTTCTTCTAGTTTCGTTTGTTTAAAAATTTTCAATTCTTAAATAAGTGTGTTTTTTAACAAAACAATTAAATCAGTTATCATCTATTTTGGTCTAGTACATTTACAAATATATATTTGCTAACTATGATAAAAATTGTATGTGAAAAACTGACTGTATAATATTAACTTAACGCTGATTCTTAAGAATAGAAGAAGAAATATTTAAATCCCAAGATTTATTTCATGTGATTTTTCAATATCAAAATTTTTAAATTATATTAACGGACGAAACGTTAAACTAACATTCTTGTAATTATTTTGTCTTGTTCGTATTCTACAATCAACATAAACACGTTTTATCAGTTATTAACACGCTTCACTGAGGTGTTTGAAAATAAAAATTTTCATATAAATATCTTCAACAAATTTGGGATTTCCATCGTTAACCAGTGATTCCAGTAATTATGATCTCCAAATCATTATTATTTGTTCTTTTAGCTACAACAGCGTTGGTAAGTAACCTTAAATAAAAGGCAGAATACTTATTAACTTAATCTATGTATAAAACTAATAAATGTAAAAATTCTTCTTTTAGTGTAATCCTCTTGATGTAGAACCAAAGGTAAAGTCTTGAGTGTAATTATTAACTTTTTGGATTAAGAATTTAATTAAATGCATGTAAAATAAAATTAATTATCATTGTAGCAGATCATTATAGCAACACGAGACTTATAAATTTATAACTTTTTATTATAGAATGTCCTGTTTAGCATAAATTATGTTTCATTACTGACATACATCTACAATTGATATATTCGTTTTTTAGAGAAAAGTTAATACAATTGACGTAA